CCTGGGCACTGGGGTGGGAGGACTAATGTCCGCTCGTGATCAGAGGGCAGATGTGCGTTTACTCTAGCGGCATGCCTCGGCCACAAGCTGCTATTGTGCCCGCCGGTTTACCTGCAGGGTGATTCTCGGAGGCAGTGAGGTTCAGATCAGTGCATTGGACACGAGAGGCTGTTTTGTTCTCCATCTCAAGCCTCCACAAACCCCAGTCTCACCGTGGGTTTGCATACTATTCAAATTCTGACCACACTGCTCACTGTAAAAAACGTAAGCCTTGCTGACAACTGTGCGGAATTGATGCTTTAAGTCATTAAAATAACTTACAACTAGAATAGAGAGACTGACTCCAGGAGAACGGTGGGGTTTGACAACCACGGAGTTCAGCTGGCTGAAACCCTAACCAAAGCATGCAGTACTTGTGCACGGTGAGTCACTCTGCGGCCACCAAAGGGGCTGGGATGTTTCCTTCTCAGATGGCTGGTGACACTCACTCGACGGCACAGATTCTCAAATACCCATGGTCCTGTTGCCTATTTTTATCCCATTAATGGAACCACCATTGGATGGTAAATTGAAGGAATCATTTTTGTTAATGGAAGGGAAAAAAGAGGTCAGATTTTTCTTCTAATTATATTTTGCTTTGGCATATGTTAAAAATCAGTGGTTATCTCCTGAACACAAATGACTATGAGTAAAGAGATGGTTCTTGTAGTTGAAGATTTACTGAGACCCCAGGTTGCGTCAAGTTATCTATTTCTGGAACATAGAAAAATGCATGAAATGACTATATGCTTATTAGAATGGCCAAACTTCCCAAGTGACAATATCAAATGCTGACAAGGAGGCGGAGCAATAAGAGCTCTTATTCACTGCTGGTGGAAACGCAAAAGGCTACACTCACGTTGGGGGAAGAGCTGGGCAATTTCACACCAGGTTAAACATCGTCTAATCACATGACCTAGTGATCATGATCTAGGCATCTACCCAATTAATCTGAAAACTTCTGAACACACAAAAATCTCTGCGTGAATGTTAACAGCAATTTTATTCGCAATCACTAAGAACTAGAAACTACGATGGCCTTGTTGGGTGAATGGCTACACAAATCCTCCCCCCAACTGAGTATTCTTCAGTGATAGCACATGATGAGCTATCAAGGCACAGAAAGACATAGGGCAGCGGTTCTCAACCTGTGGGTTGTGACCCCTTTGGGGGGGGTCAAATGACCCTTTCACATGGGTCACCTGATTCATAACAGTAGCAAAATTACAGTTATGAAGTAGCAACGAAAATAATTTTATGGTTGGGGGTCACCACGACATGAGAAATGGTATTAAAGGGTTGCGGCATTAGCAAGGTTGAAACCAGTGACATAGGGGGGCGCACACTGCTGAGAGAAGGATGCCTGGGTGACAAGGCTACATACCAGAGGACTCCACTTGGAGAGTTTTGGGAAAACTACAGAGCTAGTGAAGGGAGCAAACCTCATACAGTGTTAAGCAGACGCAGCCAGACACAAAAGGATCTCTACATGCTGCCATTTATATGAAGTTCAAAACCAGGCATATCAGAGTGGTGGCCATAGTCTGGAGAGTAAGTGCCCATCACTGTGTTTGGAGCACAGGGAGTGTAAACACAGGGAGCTATTTTGACCACAAGTCCTAACCCTGACTTTCAAATTGAGCTCCAAAGGGCACGGAGGAGGCTGGGCCGTGGGAGTGTACTCCCAGGCTGTCAAGCTGCTCCAACCAGAAGACCCTGATTTTCATCCATTTGATGTCCTGGGCTTCTGCCCATGATTTTGCTCAAGCAGGGGATTAAAAATGGTTGAAAACACCGAACTAGGCCAACTGGGATATCCTCTAGAATCTCATCAGAAAACACGTAGAGACTCAGAGAGCTGGCTGAGGGAAGAGGGCAGGAGAGGCTCAAGAAGAAACAGGAGGAAGAACTGCAAAGTTAGAGAGAACACGCCACTTCCTGCCTCCCGCCTCTGCTGGGCTGGCAGACAGACGGCAGGGTCCTAATGTGTCTAACAGACGGAGTCTCTCTCCGTCTACAAGCCCCTCTCTGCAGTTTTCTGTCTGTGAATGGCAGTTACCCTTCCAAGTGTTTGGATCAAAGAGCTCAAGAGTCCTTTACTCATCTCCCTTTCCCACAAGCAAACCCTGACCACTTCCGTTAACTCCACCGAGACCAGCTTGGTCTGAGTGAACCTTACCTGTTGCTTGAATTATGCTTTTCCTATCTGGGTTCATGCTACTCCCTATCTAGCATGTTCTCAACCCTGCAGCCAGAAAGATCCTGCTGTTCACATTTAGTATGGATCATGTTAGTCCTCTGACCTGAATTATCCAGTGGTTCCCCATCTGTGACAGAACAAATGCTCAAGTTCTTAAAATGGCTGGTGAGGTCCTACGTGTTCTGGTCTTCATTTCCTGATGTTATGCTTCTCGTCCTGCCACCACTCAAATCACTCTCTTCCTCAACACGCCAGCATGCTCATGGCTCTCTGTCTCTGCTGCTTCTTCTGCCTAAAATACTTACCCAACAAATAAATGCCAGGTTTATCCTTCCATCCTTCAAGTCAGCATTTCAGGGAGGCCGGACCATCTGAATGCAAATGATGACACCCCTATAGTTTGTCCCCTTTCCCCATTGCCTGCAGGGAAGCTTAAGGGAATGGTACAAAATACACATCTCAAAATTTTCTTGGCCAAGGAGTGATGGACTGTGGGTAACCCCATGTTTATTCGTCACTGGGTGGCTTTTCAGCCCTCTGTGCATGACAGGGAAAAATTCTGACAGGCTACTGACAAAGGCATTGCCATGGGATGGGCAGAGGGTGTATGCAAAACTGGGAATGGAATCCGAGGGAGTGTGGATGGGCTATGGATAGCGTCTGCATCACCATGTGTTCAGCCCGGGGTCAGTGCTGCATGTCTACCACAATTGTTAAGCATTGTTCACTTTTAAATTATATTTCATAATACTCTTAACGGTAACAATGTTAACATTAATAATGATGATAATGATGATGGAACACAGTGATTAATAGGCAAACCAATTAACATGAAAAAGGATGGTAATTTGGGGAAATAAGTTGAGTTCAATCAGGTGTTTACTTATTGGATTTATATCACTTGCCTGATGTAATAAAAAGAAAGGAGAAGAAATGAAATACATACCAAAAGTCTATTTTTATTTGGCTCCACTTTACTAGGCTTGGACAAAATCTCATTTTACCTTATCTCCTACTATAAGATATTCCAAAAAAAAAAAGATATTCCTTTTGAAGTGACCAAGAGGATTTAAAATGATCTCTAAATAAAACTCTGCGTAGCTCCCAGTCCTGGACAAGCACAGACCTCCCTCTTTCAGATTTTAGGTCACAGCTGTGATTGGTGGATAAGATGATAGAAGTCTGCCTAGAAAAACTATATACAATCAAGAATAACTTAGAATATAATTTTCTCTGTAGCTGCAATCCATTGGCCTTTCAACGAAAAGGCAGAGAGGAGTGAGCGGATGTGTGTTGGGGTGTGGAGGCGAATCCTAATCCCATTATCGAGTCAGTAAGCGGAATTACCTGCCTTCTTTGGACCTCACTACCTCACTACCAACCTACCCACTGCGGTTTAGTCAAATTCACCTCACAGCGACCCTACTGGACTTACTACCCGGAGGGTTTCCACAGTTGCATCTCTTTAGGGAAGCAGCCTGAAATCTCTTTTTCCCTAGAGGGTCAGCGGGTTGGGACTGATGAACTTCTGGTGAGTAGCGGAGTACTTTACCCACTGTGCCACGAGAGCTCCTTCATCAGCAACAGGATCCTTGATGTCACATAAGAAACTATGAAACAATACAAAGGGTTCCTACTCCCTTTGTGGGAGACTTACATGAATTTAAATCATTTCTCAATCCTATTTTGCATAGCAGCCAGTATCGGACAGCACAGACCTCCCTCTTAAGAAAAATCACCCCACACAGGAGAAGATCCAGTAGTCCAGGAAAGATCTTTCTGAAGAGTCATATCAAATATCCTCTCTTATCACTTACCACCTTGTTATCTAGCACTCTGCATGGGCGACAATAATGACAAACCTCTACCCACTACTCTGTGCATTCCTGATGCATGCCTGGCAGTAATGACTGCGGGGTGTGAGCCAAGAGCAATGCTGGCTGTGAGGGCTCAGGCTATGTGTCAACTTGGCTCCGCCATGCTCTCAGTAGTTTTGGCAGCTTTGTAATGGTCAGATGTGGCAGTTACATAATGAGATAACTTGACAATTATGTAAGGATACAGTGGCCCTCCAATTTTGTGATCTGATATGGCCATCCTCCATTCTTAGATGTCGATTTTCACATCATGACCAGCTCTTTTGGAACCTGACCATGCTGATAATGAAGGAGAGAGTACACTCACTGTACACAGAGCCCATAAAGCAGGAGACCAACCCAGAGTGAAACAAAAGCTCATATCGAGATCCAAGGAGAAACTCATCAAATTCCAAATCAGAAAGGATTACAGGATTAAAAAATCCTATGGAGGGTTTTATCATAGAGTGGATTTAGATCAGAGATCACACAACTAGCAACTCTATGTGTGCAGATTTATTGGAGGCAAAGGACTTGCGGATGAAGCGTACAATCGCTAATTAAAGCAGCAAGTTATCATAAAGTAATTACCTCCTGATTCCATTTTCATATAAAAAAGATGCCTTGTGAAAATAAACAAGAGAAATATGTCTATCCCACCACATCTAAGTAGTATGTCAGGATTAGAGAAAGAGCACACAGAATCTACACTTAAAACAATAAATTCCTTTGTTAATCTGTTAGAAATTTGGATCCTCTTCACAGAAAATCGTACAATGGTATAAAATGCAAGATTCAGGGACTCCTAGACCCCCCAAGGTTCTAGGAGCCAGTCAGTCGATCAAGCCATTAGTGGTCCATGACACCAGGTGCAGACTGTTCCGAGAAGAGCAGTGAGTACTTACATTGTACAGGGGGATGGTCTTCATCACCTTGTACTGTTTAGTGGGATCCATCTTATAGAGGTGACGGTCAGTGACAAAAATAGCTCGGTCTTCCACTTTACTAAATCGATTCACCTGTGAAACAAGCACACAAGTCTATAAACCATAGTATCGCACCAAATAATCTGCCTGGAGAACATCTAGTGGGCAGGGGGCTGGTCCTAGAGAGTTCATGAATGTCTACCATGTACCATCTACTCTACCGGATACAGGAGCGGCTAAGAAGGGGTAGCACTTTCCAAATTTGTGGAATTCTATAACAGGAAAAACAAGATAACCACATAAAATATGCAAGGACTAAAAACATATAACCTGGCCATATCTAAAAAATGAAGACATTCCACAAAATGGGAGAAAGTTTCTGCACATTATATCTCTGATAAGAGGCTTGCATGTAGGTTATATGATATGACATGTATTAACACCCAAGTAATAACAAATTAACAGGATAAAAAACCCAAAACATAGATCCAGGAATGGGTTTGGGGCTCAAGCTGAATCCTAGCTCCAACTTAAGAACAATTCGTTCCTATGTTGTTGCCCTGCTCAACACTCACCCTCAGGAAGAAAACACAGAAGACATGGGTGCTATGGCCAAATGTGGAGAAGAATGTAGATGGTGCCCGACTAGCAGATAAAATAGCACTTGGGGTCTGAAAGGCTTGTTTTCAAACAAGCAGCCATCTAAGTGAAATGTCGAATAAGTCCAATGGAAGAAGCACACCATCATCAGTCACTGGAGGATGGTCAACCATATAATCCGAAGTCGATGGAGGGATCAGTCTCAGAGCCTTGATTGTGAGAACCCAGGGTACAGAAGGCTACGGCTGACAGTGGGAGCCCAGGATTCAGTTGTGGAATTACCTAGGCAATAGGTCTCCAGAGCACTCTCTCAATCCACAACTGAGGGACAGGAGGAGAATGGTCACCAATCAGAGTGCATTGAAGCGATGAGTACAGAAAATCAGAGGCATAACTCTGACTTGAACAGTTAAAACTTTGTCGGTAGATCCCCCTCTGATGCATGCTGGACTTAGTCTGGTTCCCTAAGTTGGCTGTATCTTTGGTTTGTATTGCTCTATATGGGTTTTCTTGTCCATATTAGGCTGTATCTCAGAAGTGTCATGTCATTGGAGGGCACCCTTTTGAAGTTGTGTTATATGGTTTTCCATTTTTCAATATATAAAACCCAGGATTGATGAACCTCTAGACATCAAGTGGATTAAGGGTTTCAGGGGGAGAGAGTGGTGGGGTGGGTGTGAAGGGGCGGCAATGTCAAGGGGTCCATGTAGAAAAAGAATATTTGGAAACTGATTGTGGTAGCAATTGTACAATTTTGCTTGATGTGATTGAACTATGGAATGATATGATAGATATATTAATAAAACAATAACAACAAAAAAACAAAAATGAAATGCATTCCAAATTCAGTAAGAATATATATATATATATATATAATTTAATAATAAAAACCCAAGTTCCCAACTTAAAAAAAAGGATAGGTAAAGGATCTGAATAGACATTTCTCCAAAGAAGATTTGTACATGGCTAATCAGCACATGAAAAGATGCACTGTATCATTAGTCACTAAACTTACTACCATGACTTGATGCCAACTCACAGCAGCACTGTGGAACACAGAACTGCCCCCACAGAGCTTTCACGGCTGTAAGTCTTTAAAGAAGCAGAACGCCACATCTTTCTCCTGGTGGGTTCAAACAAATGACCCTTTCGTTAGTAGCCAAGTGCTTTAACCGCTGTTCCACTAGGGCTCCTTCATTAATCATTCCCAAAACCAAACCCACTCAGCTTTGTTGATTCGGGCTCATAGCGACTCTAGAGGGCAGCAGTTCTTAACCTGTGGGTCACAACCCCTTTGGGGGGTCAAACGACCCTTTCCCAGGGGTTACCTAAGACCACTGGAAAACACATAAATATTTCAGAATATATAATTATATACTGTTTTGTGATTAATCACTATGCTTTAATTATGTTCCATTTGTAACAATGAAAATACATCCTGCCTATCACATAACTACATTAAGACTCAGAACAGTAGTAAAATGACAGGTATGAAGTAACAACAAAAATAATGTGATGGTTGGGGGTCAGCACATGAGGAACTGTATGAAAGGGTCGCGGCATGAGGAAGGTAGAGAACCTCTGATAAAGGATGTGTGAAGCTGTAATTCTTTTTTTTTTTTTTTTTTGAAGCTGTAATTCTTTATGGGAGCAGACAAGCTCATCTTTCTCTCTAGAGCAGCTGGCCAGTTTGGAGGTTTGAACTGCTGACCTTGCGGTTAGCAGTCTGACACACACCTGAGAGCACCAACAGGGCTCCTTTCACCAGTCACTGGGCAAATAACAGCTGCAATAGAAGGCATGTCACACCCACTGAGCACGGGTATAACACCAAAAACGGGCACTGGCAAGTACTGACAAGGATGTGGAGAAATGGAAACCCTCACACAGTGCTGGCAGAACTCTAAAATTCTAGTTTCTTTTGGAAACTGTTAGTTTTGCAATATGATGCTGTACTTGTTTCTAGGTATATATACCCAACAAAAATGAAAATATATGTCTACACAAAAAAGCATATACTTAAATATTTATAGTAGCTTAATCAAAGTAACACTAAAGTGGAAACAACCCAAATGTCCATCAACTGATAAATGTGGCATAGCTATACTTGGCAATAGACATGAATGAAGGGTGGAGCGCTTCTTTTGGGGTTAGTGAAAGTGTTCTGGAATTAATATACAAATATGAAGAGTCATCGTTGACTTGTATACCTTAACTGGTTAAATTACACGCATGTGAATAAAATCTTGATAGAAATGTTAAAAAGAAGGAACATATGACCTGTGTTTGAAACTCATTCTGCCCCTTTTCTAGAGCACCAAAAAGGTGGATTTTGAACTAAACTCCCTAAGACATATGGCCACCACTTGTCGTACTGTGGTGGCTTGTGTGGTGTGGTGAGGCTGGACACTCTGTCGTGGGAATTTCAAGTACCAGCAGGGTCACTCCAGATGAAAAGACCTTTGACAAGAAGGAATGACGTAGTGACTGCAAATGGGCTCACACAACCACCACTGTGTGGATGGCGCAGGACTGGGCACGTCTGTTCTGCTGTACACCAGGTTGCTACCTGTCTGAACTGACTTGCGGGTGCCTTAAAACAACAATAAAATCTATGCCCCCAACTCAACCTGTGCTGCTGAGGCGATTCCAACTCAGAGTGACTCTAAGTTAGGCAGGGTTCCACTTCCCCATAGGGGTTCCACGTCTGTCAGTCTGCACAGAGGCAGACGGCCACCTCACCTCCTTCTCCCACAGTGGCTAGTGAGCTTGACCGGCTGACATTTGGGTTAGCGGCTGAGCACCTTAACTACCATGCCACCAGGGCTCCTCATGAAATCTACATGTTCAAAAATGTATAGCCTTCTATTGCCCACGGCACCAGTAACTGATTCATAGCCATTACTGTCCTATTGATTTCATGAGTCCTTTTCCTGATTTTCAAAAACCTTCTTACTTGTCTCTGCCCTACTGAAAGCCATTGTTTCTTCAAGCACTCTGTTCCTGTCAGACAGGTCTCTCTGACGCGTCTGTGATTTTCCACTGCCTCTTTCTTCTCTTTAACCAATGTATACTTGAAGCTATTGCTCAAGTTCTCACTTCATTATAAAACGTCCCCAATTTCTATAGTAAAAAAGGACCACTCTTTTCTCGGAACTCCTATTTCATAATCATAGGATTCATAAAAAGGTAGAGAGTTAAGGATAACACAAAAAATTAAGGTTGACGCCAAAGGGTTGTTTTCCTGTTAAAACGGTCTATCTGACAATATGAAAAGCTCCTGGCTCAAGTGTTTTCGAGAAACACTGGGTTCATCACTACTGTTTCCAAGTTAAGGCAGGGAAGAAGTCTGGCTGATGTTTATCATTACCAAAACAATGAAATGACATCTATACTTAGTCCGCATTTTCTCATTATGAAGTTGAGTCACTTTCTCTCTCGGCTAATGGGCAGAAATACTCAATTCACATTAAAAAGTTTTGCTTAAATAATTTGAAAGATTGTTGACTTTAAAGTGTGGCTGTTTGTTAAGAAAAAAAAAGACTTGCTAAAATGGTTGCACAGAACTTGGTGTTTCTAACCCACAATTGAGGCTATATTTGGCAAAGGAGATTGGCCGTACTTGTTTTTTCTTGTGATAATTAGCCTAATGACTGTAGCTTCAATCATCTAACTCCAATTAATCCAACCAATATAAAAGGTTACGAAGAGTCTCTGGACTTTCACTGTCACCCAAAGCCTCTGCAAACTGGGTGCTCAGCGATATCATGGGTTTGGGAAGCCCTTTTAATGTAACGTTCAGGCGATTTCCAGTCTCCTTCCCTACCCGCACCCTTTAGTGTTGATTATAGGAGCTGACAGAAGGTGCACCCTGGAAGGCTGTCTAACTTAAGAAAACCATTTCCCAGGTGCCCAACAAGAGCAGAGTGGCTTGATGACGTCTCAAGTCCCTACTGTCCATCCGGATCTTGGAAAGGCCTCATCTCTGCACTGAAGGCGGAGGAGCTGTGGCCTTCGTACTCTTTATGCGTAAGGATAAAAGTCTCAGACTCAAACTCATTGCCACCGAGTCGATGCTAACACACACTAACCCTACGGGGCAGGATGAACTCCCCCTTTGCGTTTCTGAGACTAACTCTTCAGGGGAGTTGAGGGCCCTGTCTTTCTCCCGAGGAGCAGTTGGTGGTTTCAAACTGCTAACCTTGCAGCTAGCAACCTAATGCATAATCACCAGGCCAGCAGGACTCCAAGGTTAGGAATCCTTTTGTTCATAAGGTATCTTTCTAGCAAAGCTCCCTACTATAACTCAGTTTACAAGCACAACGCTTGTGGCTTGGGAATTATTTACTATCCAGGTTTTAATAGTTTATTTGTGCATTTTCTTCAATCTCCTCAGATGTCTTTTCCACGAGTTAATTGAATCCCCCC